AATCCTACTCGGGGAACTTAAAGATTGTACTTGAAAGTCTTAGAGATTATACCGAAAGGTCTTAGAGATTACGCCTGAAGATCTTAAAAATCTTGACATGCATGAAAGCTCTTCGACATGCCTTGAAACTTTAAAATTTTAAAATATTTTACCCGTAAGTCTTAAAAATTTTATCCGGAGATCTTAAAGATTATACCTGAAGATCTTAGAAATTATACCCAGAAGTTTTAAAGATTTTGCATGAAGAGTCTTAAAGATTATGCTTGAAGATCTTAAAGATTATGCTTAGAGATCTTAGAGATTATACTTGAAAGTCTTAAAGATTATGCATGAATGTCTTATAAATCTTGTCATATATGAAAGCTCTTTTGATCAGAGACCTTGAAACTTTAAAGAATTTAAACATTCTACCCAAAAGTTTTACAAATCATTCAAATCTTTGCTTGAAGGTATTGAAAATCATGCAAAAAAATCTTGAGGTTTTATGCAGAGGTTTTTGGAAATCATTCAAAAATTTAAAAATTTTACCTTGGTCTTTGGAAATCGTTCAAAAAACTAAGATTTTGCTTGAAAGTCTTAGAAATCATATATTCATTTTCCTTTAAAGTTTGAAATTTTTTCATTTCAAAATTTTCACTTTTTTTTTCAAAAGTTTTTCATTCTTTGTTTCAAAACATATTATTTTTTAGGTGTAAAAATACCTTATATTTCAATTTTATCTTTCAAAAGTGTTCCGCACCATTTCTTAAATGTTTTAAATTTCCAAATAACAAATTTTCTCTTTCTTGCTTTGTTACCCAAAATTGGCAAACATAATCATGATGTAAAAAGACTACGATCATGCGGATGCAAACTTTACTTCATGCAAATATACAGATGAATGCTTTATGCTAATATGCAAATTCTACTTTCTTATGGAAATGCAAATGTCTTTTCCCTGATGCAAATATTCCATGCAAATACAAATGTCTGTTCTAGTTATACAGATGTATTACAATGATGCGAGTGTAAAATCCTTTCTTATAATGCAAATATAAGGATGCAAATGCCAAACTCCTTACCATGATGGAAATGTACATTCTTTTTTCATAATGCAGGTGTCTACATAACAATGCAAATGCCAAAACTTTTTTCATTTTTCACATTCCATTTCTGCTGATCTTTTCTTAGCATTTTAATTTCTTTTCGAAAAGGGTCTATTTTTCCATTTTCTCATGTCCTTTTTTTTTATAATTTTTTCACCCATCTTTCTTGTAATCTCTATACCAATTTCTGCTTTCTTTATTTTTCCAACAAGCTTTCTTTTATTTACTTTTCAACATGTTTTTTTTTATTTTCTTTTTGAACATGCAATATGCAGTATGAAACATGCAATATGTGTTTTAGACCTGGTTGTGAAAGCAAGAAGACACACCACCATTCCTAAAAATATTTTTTCATTTTTTTTCTTTTTCAACAATATTGATCATTTAATGAAAATTTTTTTTTTAATTCCGAACTAGTTTGAAGATTCTCATAATTCAATAATTTTCTCAAACATGATTTCCTTGTTTTTCACAAATAGTGTGACTAGTTATTCATAAATTTTCAAAAATGGTTAACAAAATTTACCCCGTATAATTAAATTCCTTAATGAAAGAGAATGAAATATTTGAACAAATGTGATTTTGAAAGTCTCTTAAGAATTGGTGTTCCCTATTAGAAATGACAAAAGTGACAATTTTCTTTTTAAATGGATTGAAAGGTTTTAGCATATGAAGATTTCAGTTCACTCAAAAAGGTTTCACTACCTAAATGAGGGGAAAATTGGTGTATACTTTGTCACTCACGCTTACAAATAAGACTTATGTTTGTCTAGAAGATAAATTCTTTGAAATCAAGCATGTTCGATATTTTCTTTAGTATCCAAATTTGACATTTCGTTAGGTGATAATACTAGATTTGAAAGACATGAAATTTTGGAAAGTCATTTAATGAAGAGGAAATAAGGCTCAAATCTACAAAATCAAGCATTTTTATGCATTCAAGCTTTTAGGTCTTAATGTATTTGGATCTTTTGAAAGGAAAGGTATGGGTTGCCTTTGATTGGCATCTTATCTTAATATCAAGAGTGGCTTAAAGATCTTTTAAGTTTGCTCTAAACTACCCTTTTACAAGATTTTCACCCTAAAGCCACAATCATCTTTCCTTTTTCTCTTCTCTTTTTTTTTTATTTCTCTTATTTTTTTTCTTCTTTTTCTTGGTTTTTCCTTTTTTTTTTTTTTCAAATTTCTATCTTTTTTCTTGGTTTCTTGTTTGTTGAACTAAGAGATTTTTATCCTTTAAAAGAAAAAAAAAAAACTCTTTTATCATTCTCATGTCCTGTTCTTCCTCTAAGTATTTATCAAGCTATAATTTTTATTTTAAAATAATAATAATAATAATAATAATAATAATAATAATAATAATAATAATAATAATAATATGTATTAGGCTATAATTTTTATTTTTAAATATTGGGTGTTGTGATTTTTTTATTAGGCTAAATAAAAATTACATATTTAATATAATTATTTATGATTTTATTTTTAACTTGTTAATGGTGTTTTGAGTGAATGTAAGTTGGATGATGAACTAAAAGGTGAGTTGGGCTTGGTCCGAACCTACAATAAGGAAAGTACGATCAAAAGGCGTCAAAGGTTGGTATCTGGAGTGCATTCCAACACTCAAGTTAGTTAAAATTTTAGGGTTTTGAAAAAGGAAAATGAGTTGCTAAAAAAGTTTAAGAGTAAAAAGTTTATAATAGTATTCTTGGACCACCTTTTACCTTATATATGAGATGTGGGATGGTAACATGACTAAAGTAGGTGATAGTTAATAGGAATTTCATATAGAGATCAAAAAGAGTCTACGTGGGTAAGCATTGGTTACATTTAATGATTCTAAGTAAGTTGAAAGCAAGTTGAGGCAAGTTGGATTACCGTGGGGTGACGCATTGATGTGATATTAGTGGAGATAATTAGGATAGTTATCTTCATAGACGAGGAAGTCTTAGTAGGCGAGCAACTCAAAGGCGAGCCTTTATGGTGACCATGAACTTTGGTGTTGATCTTCTTTAGTAATGAAATGGCTATCAAGCATGTACTAAATTGGCAAGTATAATGTTTGCCCTTTTTAATCAAGCAATTAGGCTAGACAAACTTTGATCAACATAATGACTACAATAATTTAAGTGAAATTATTCGATAATTATTAATGGAGCTTTTTAACTCTACAAGTAAGGTTAACATGGTGAAACATGTCTCACTTTTATTTTAATTAATTTTTTTATTTTGTTAAATATATCGAAGAGACATGTGTTATCTTGTTAATTTCACTTATAAGATTAAAAAACTACACTTACAAGTAATGTTTGATATCTCTTACAAAATCACCATAGTGATATAATCACTTAAGTGATCTTTTTAGTACAGTGATCTTATCAAAGATTATTTGAAATAACTTTATTTGATTAACAATTATTAATTCTTAAGAATTAAATATCAATGTGTTTAATATTATTAAAAATCAAATATTATTTTGTTTAAAAGTACAAAAATAACTATACATATTATAATAGTTATATAAGTTAATGATTTTAATTTTGTTTAAAGATAATAATTTGTAAAATATTAATAATATTTTATTTATTTTATAATAAATTATAATTGAATTATTAAATTAATAAATATATTTATTGATAAGTAAATTAATTTTTATAATATAAATGATGTAAAAAATATTTGAATTACAAAATAAAACTAATCTATTAAATTCATAATAAAACATAAATTATTTTGAACTTATCATGATAAATATTAGTTTTAAAATATAAAAATTTATAATATAAAATAGTTACAATTTTAAGAGGAAGCAAGTTCTTAATTCATGTGTTAATGAGTAATGTCGATAATTATTGATTTTAAATATGACTTCATCTCAATGATAAAATTTTTTATTTTTTTTGATGAAAATTATATCATCTCACAAAATAATAATTTGATCACTCTCAACTCTTAATGATCCAAGATCATCATCACTTAAGATTTTAATGTATTTATTAAACATAGTGATCTAATTATTGTATATATATCTTTATGATTGTTAAGTAATCAATCCATATAAAATATATTATAATTAATATATTTGATAATTTCTTTTTTATGTCTATATACTTATTTATTAAGTTTTATTAATTATTTCATAATTGTATATATAAATATATAATTGAATTATATCATTCGATGCTAAGAGTAGGTTGCGTTTGTTTTAAAAAAATGCCCTTGATTAGTGAGGAGTGATGACTGAATGACCCTCCAAATTGAAAACAGAATGCAGTCGCCGTGGGGTTTGGATAAAGGTGAAAGACTTGCTGGAGCAAGACTCCACAATTTTCTGTCCATTTTCTGTCCTTAATTGGAGTTAGAGAAGGCAAAAAGATCGCCCATTGTTTTTTTTTTTTTAATTAAAATTGAATCATTAAAGAGAGATTTTTTTTTTTTAGATATTAAATTAATAAAAAATATATAACAGAAGATATATTTTACATATTAACCCTATATTATATTATACATTATTTTAAAAAATAAATACAATCTAATTTGATCCAAATCAAATCAAGTCATTACCGCCCGTATCGATTTTTTGTCCCCAAAAATGATTTTCCTGATTTATTGAATGGAATGTAATAAACATTTCTAACCAATTCAATGGCATCTCAGATTATTAAAACTTTCACTAAGAGAAAAAGATTAATTCAATCTAAAATAATTAAAATTACATATTTTAAGAAAAAAAAATTAAACGATACAGTATTTTATTTCTTCATCTCATATTATTTGTCATTTATTAAAAAAATTTAATTTTAAAATATTAAAAAAAATATAATATAATTTTAAAACATCCTAAAAAATATAAATAAATAAAATGGGACTGAGCAAATATCATTTTTTTTTCTTTTTTTAATCATTGTTTACCAAAGAGGTGTGTTCCGTAGGTAAAACCCTTGAAAATTACGAAAAGATCCGGAGAGTGGCTGAAACAAAAAACTTCGCAGAAGCTCAATATTGGGCAAACTAGAAAGACCAAAGTTCAATAATCATTAAAAAGAAGCATGTCTTTCCCCCCAAAATTCTCTCATTTACGTTCTTCTTTTTCTTCTTCTCTTGATGTTCTTCCTAAAATTCCACCTCTCCAAACACTAATAAAAAGAGGCTTCACTCCCACTCTCAAATCCATTAACCAACTTCTTTCCTTTCTCTCTTATTCCCGAAAATTCAACTCAGTTGTCCATCTCTTCTCTCAGTTGGAATCAAACAAAATCAAAGCCAATTTCCAAACCCACTCGATCCTCATTTGGGCTCTCCTCAGATTGTACAAATTTGAAGAAGCGGAGCATTTGATGAATACCCGGCTGTCAAAATTTTCCAATTTTTCCAAAACTCGATTTTGGGATTCTCTAATTCAAGGATTCTGTGTCATCCAAAATAATCCACAAAAGGGTCTTTTTCTGTTAAAGAACTGCTTAATGAATTGTGGTACATTGCCTTCTTCTTCTACATTTTGTTCATTGATTCATAGTTTTATATCTCAAGGAAATATGGATAGAGCAATTGAGGTGTTAGAATTGATGACAGGTGACAAAATTAGATACCCTTTTGATAATTTTGTTTGTAGTGCAGTCATTGCTGGTTTTTGTAAGACTGGGAAACCTGAAGTTGCACTTGGATTTTTCAAAAATGCTATAAATTCAGGAGCTTTACGGCCTAATGTTATTACTTATACGGCTTTGTTAAGCACCTTTAATATGTTGGGTAGATTTAATGAGGCTTGTGATCTGGTTTTTAAGATGGAAAAGGAAGGGCTGGCTTTGGATGCTATTCTTTATAGCAGTTGGATTTGTGGGTACTTTAGAAATGGGTGTTTAATGGAGGCTTTGAAAAAACATAGAGAGATGGTGGCAAGAGGAATCAACCCCGATGCTGTAAGCTACACTATTCTCATTGATGGATTTTCAAAGGAAGGTTGTGTGGAAAAGGCAGTTGGATTTTTGAAGAAGATGTTGAAAGATGGGGTGATGCCCAATGTGGTTACGTATACGGCAATCATGTTGGGTTTTTGCAAGAAAGGGAAATTGGAGGAGGCATTTACATTGTTCAAGGAAGTTGAAGATATGGGGATTGAAGCAGATGAGTTTATGTATGCAACATTGATTGATGGAGCTTGCAGGAAAGGAGATTTTGATTGCAGCTTTCATCTGTTGGATGAAATGGAGAAGAAGGGGATTAAGCCAAGTATTGTTACTTATAATATAGTAATCAATGGTTTGTGTAAGGTTGGGAGGACATCTGAAGCAGATAATGTATTCAAACAGGTAGATGGTGATATTGTAACGTACAGTACTCTGTTGCATGGTTACACTGAAGAAGGGAACGGAGAAGGGATTTTTAAGACAAAAGGGAAATTGGAAGAATCAGGGCTTTTTATGGATGTTGTTGCATGTAACACACTTATCAAAGCACTCTTTATGGTTGGTGCATTTGAAGATGCCCATGCACTCTACAAAGCAATGCCAGAAATGGATTTGAATGCAGATTCAATTACTTATTGCACAATGATAGATGGCTATTGTAAAGCAGGCAGAATAGAGGAGGCACTAGAGGTGTTTGATGAGTATAGGATGTCATTAGTTTCTTCTGTTGCATGCTATAATTGCATCATAACTGGGCTATGCAAAAGGGGAATGGTTGATATGGCCATTGAGGTAATTATTGAACTTGGTGAGAAAGGTTTGGCTTTGGACATGGGTATCTCAATGATGTTGATCAGGGCAACTTTTGCTCAAACAGGTGCAGTGGGAGTTATGAATTTTATTTACAAACTTGAGAATTTTGGGTCCGAAATGTACAATAGTTTATGTGATGATGCTATCTGTTTCTTGTGCAAAAGAGGTTTCGCTGAAGCTGCAAGTGAAGTGTACATTGTAATGAGGAGGAAAGGTTTAGCTTTGATGAAAAGTTCCTATAATTTGGTACTAAAAAAGCTTATTGATGGCGGAAAAATGTCTCTAGTTGGTCCTTTTCTCAATTTCTTCCTGAAAGAGCATGGCCTAGTTGAGTCTATTGTTAGCAAGATTGTGGCACACCACTTGTGTCTTAAGAATATGGACATTGCACTACAGTTTCTCAAGAAAATGAAGGAGCAAGTATCATCAGTCACTTTGCCTCCCTCAGTTTTGACAAAACTTGTAAAGGATGGCAGGGTATTGGATGCATACAAACTTGTCTTGGAAGCTAGTGAAAATTTTCCTGTTATGGATGTGGTTGATTACTCAATCCTGGTTCATGCCCTTTTCAAGGAAGGATACCCTAATCAAGCCTTAGATCTGTGTGCTTTTGTTAAAAATAAGGGGATTACTCCTAACATTGTCACATACAATTCGGTCATAAATGGATTGTGCCGTCAGGGGTGTCTAGTTGAAGCATTCCGACTATTTGACTTATTAGAAAGAATTGACTTGGTTCCCTCTACAGTAACATATGCAACATTGCTTGACCATTTATGTAAGCAAGGTTTTCTGCTAGAAGCCAAAAAATTATTTGATGATATGATCTACAAGGGATGTAAACCAAATATACGTGTTTATAACTCGTTCATTGACAATTACTGTAAGTTTGGTCAAATGGATGAAGCCTTGAAACTTTTGTCTGATCTGGAGATCAAAGGTGTTAAGCCTGATGAATTCACCATTAGTGCTCTGATTTATGGCTACTGTAAGAGGGGTGACATGGAAGGGGCTCTTGCATTCTTTTCTGAGTTCAAAATGAAAGGTGTATCTCCTGATTTCTTGGGTTTTATTCATATGACACGAGGTCTTTGTGCGAAAGGAAGGATGGAAGAGGCAAGGAGTATCTTGAAAGAAATGCTTCAGACAAAATCTGTTGTGGAGTTGATAAATAACATTGATACCAAGATTGAGTCAGAATCAGTAGACAGTTTTCTTGCATTCTTATGTGAGCGAGGAAGTATCCATGAAGCTTTGGTTGTTCTTTGTGAAATTGGGTCTGTGTATTTTCCTATTCAAAAGTGGTCTACCGTTTATCAAGAATCTGAACCATTAAACAACTGCTTGAAGAGTGAAGCTTTTTCTGCGGTCTCTGCTGTGTCAGCAAGACCTGACAAAATGTCTGATTTAGATTATGCATTGCATGATCCGCAGCAAATAAAGAAGTTAGTAGAAAATTATGATGTTGGAAAAGAGGAATCTCAATTTTGCAGCTTTAACCTTTGCTATTCCTTACTTACTTCACTCTGTTCAAGAGGGGAGCTGCACAAGGCAAATAAACTTATGAATGAAGTGCTTTCAAGTTTGAAGGGAACTCTGTAGTCAAATTACTGATTTTTTGGTTGCCATGACTAAAACCTGAAACTTTCTCTGGCCCCAAGATAGGAAAAGAAGCCATGTAGTTACAAGCTAAACCTGATGATAATCATGCCATTTAAGCTTCTTCTGTTCTTCCAGGAGGTAACTTGCACGTTTTTTTTTATTCTGCACTTTATGTATGATGTATTACGTCATTGCTGCTAGCTTAATTGGTTCTTGCCTATCTATACGCACGAGCATGTTTACTAAGAAAGAAATCACATTTTACATGTGCAGTCCTCAAGTACCCTTCCTGTTTCAGGTTATGCTTCTTTTCCTGAAGTAATTTGTATTTGTTGTTTATTAAAGCATCTTTGCTGGTCTATACAAAACTGGCAATTTTGTTAGTTGAGAAGTACTTGCATGAGTTACAAGGGCTTACAGTATAAATGTTGGACTTAGCCATAACATGAGCATTTATGGCTGGTGGAAAACCTGCTAGAGATTTTGGGCCCGGACCATAATGTTGATAGGCGGTGAAGCCAGGAATCTGGGTAATAAAGGTGCTATTTCATATCTGTACCATTAGGTAATGGAGGGAGAATATGGCTTTGTGTTTTGGAGTAGTCTACCTACTTTAACTGAAGCACTTAGATAGTTTGGATCCTTTCTTCAGGTTTTTTAATTCTTTTATTATTATATTTTTCAAACCTTTTGCTGGAAAATTTCTTGGTTGTCAGTAATGGTATTCACAACTGGAGGTTCTCACACATTGATGCTGTAGATGGTGGGGCAGATATGAACAATCATATGACTGGACCCCATGGGGAAATGGAGAAGGGACATTTCATAATACTTGTCAAGGTTTTGATATATAGAAACAAACTTTTTGCCAGAGATGATGTTTATGCTGCATAAGAATGCAGTTTGCATGTGTTATCTGTATTTATGATCATTATCTGAAGAAAGTGCCTATATTTGTGCTATATAACCTCAAGATAGGAATTAAGAACCATTTCTGGTCATACGTTAGATTTAGAAGTAGAAAAAAATACAAAAATTGAGTTGGATGAGGGACTGAAGCTGTTTTATGCTATTGCATCCAGACACGCTGCTGGAAAGGGAAGGTTTAATTCCTATAAGAGACATTTTAGTCTGTTTTAACTAATTAAGAACTTATAGTACCAACAATATTTAGTGTAGGCAACATGGAGTATTTTATAGTATTATTTCAAACTGCTGGCTATATGAAGCCTATTTGTGAATCAAATATTACATGTCTCTTCTGGATGATTCAAATAAAATAATGACCTGCCTGTAAGCTAGTAAAATAAACTCCTTTTTTGGAATTCTCCGGATTTATATAAATTTGAGATAAAGTTAGATGTTATTGTCTGCTTGATATAGATTGTTAAGGTTTGGCCTGGTAATTTTTCCAGCTTTTCTTGAGTTCCTCATATTGTTTGACAAGCGCAGAAGATCGTTCTTCTTACATGTGAAATGACTGAATTTCATCTCGGAGATGATATGTGTTATGTTATAAGTTTCTGTTAATCATAATCTGTGGAAGTTTGAAATAGATGGAATTCTTGTGCAAGTTTTTTGTTTCTGACCCAGTCACTCATGTTCTTGATTGTTACGGCCAGTTTTAGATGGCAATTTGCATTGCTGATGAGCATTACTTGCTGTCCTTTTTCCACATGAGAATCATAATCTGGAATTGGATCATGTTTCCTACTTTTCACTTTAGCTTCGCCTAATGTGTTTTATTTGTGTGCCCTCAGATGATTGATCCAGATGGTATCGCAAACTGGTCAGTAACTCATGTTGACTGGTCTGAAAGAAAGTGGCATCCTAAATCATATAGGGCTCTGGATGTTACAGATGAGCTTCTGAAGAATATTACGGTACATGTGCATATCTCTTTATTTTTTAAGCAATCTCATTGCAATAACCACTTGCCACTTGTTCTTGATGCAAATGATTGTGATGTAGAATGGTCATTAGGAAAACATACCTTCATCTTTGGCTAGAAAAAAGGGAAAAAAATGGTAACAGTAAACAACTTATCACCTTGCCTATTAGCAGGATAGACTGAGAATGTGTGGTTCCGTAGTATGATGATTTAAGTCTTGCATGATTTGTCATCTGGGAATACTGTAGTAGATTGGGTTTATGAATAACAGTGACTTTAGGTTCTGACAAATTTTGCATCATACTTTTGCAGTCAAATTGACTTGACCATCCATGTAACAAGTGATGAAAAGGTATACATTTCAAACACTCATGCTCTCAGGAGTTGGTAAAATTACTATATTCTGATTGTATTTTTCCTTTTTTTTTTTTGTCATTTCATAAGAGCAAATAGCAGGTGCAAGCTTGCCCATGGAATGATATCAGACAACCGTGTTCCCTATTTGCAAGGAAATTCTATCCAGAAACCCTAGATAAATTGATGATGCTCCTCAAATTTTTGACTCTGAATTCTTTGGTCGGATTGATAGTTTTTTTCTTGATCCCTTCACCCCATATTGGTTTCACATATAGATTATATATTTGTAAATGGCCATTTTTCCCAACTAACAATTCTTCAGTGCAACGGCAAGTGGAACAGTAGTTAGGATGAGTTGAATGCGGCTGGAGGCTACCGAGTTGTTAGCGTTGCGTCCCTTCCAAATGGGTAATTTCTTGTCCATCTCTTCCCCATTCGTGCCATTGATACATTAATATATATGTGAAGCAATATTGGAAGATTCTGCGAAAAGTCGGCTGTTAGTCAGAACTTTTAGTTTTAATAATCAAGATTTAAATATTGACAGCTTCAAATATAAAAAAATATATATTATAAAAAAGTATTGGAGGATTTTTTGTTTGTAGAATTTGAAAAACAAGATTGAACCTATGCATTTCTTTCTTTAAATATTGTGTACAAAGTAATTTCCTTTATTAGTTCCCCTTGCCGGCGAAAAAGTAAGCACTGCTCACTGGTAGCTGGTGCTGAAGGCATACTTTTCCCCAACCCCCAAACATGAATTCACTTTTTAACATGTGATTTGAAATGCATACAAATTGCTCAGCAGAATGCTGAAAATTGACAATCACTCTATTTGATTTGAATGACAATTTGTTTATAGGTTGAATCCTTATTTATTGCTTGTATCATGTATGTCGAAAATTGATTTCATTTTCTATCTATAAACCTGTGTTTTTTACTGTTCAGTCTACCAATGTCTAAGGTATCCTTTATTTATTTATTTATATTTTTATTACTTATTTTCAGATAGATTTATCAATTTATAATCATGTGCAATTTTTTTTTTTAATTTTTTTATCAAAGTGTAATTTACTTACCCAAGCATAAGTGTCCAACATATATTTCTCACGTCGAAAAAGAAAGAGTAGGAATTGCTTGCGATTTTTTATCCAAAATATTTAATGTTAGATTGTTGAATTTTTAATTTAAGCGATCAATATCTATAAAAAAATAATAATAATTTAATTAAGCATTAAAAAAATTAATTCAAAAGTAGAACACTAATGATACATCTAATACTGACAATGACAGCCATCATCACCACGATATATGGCATGGCATCAATTGTTAGATTGAATTTGTCCCCAAGATAGCTTGCTGATTAATTTGTTGATGTTAATCTAATATACCACTAGTACTTTGTAGCAAATTTGGCAATTTCCTTCATCTTATTTTCCTTGTTCTATTTTATTGTTTATTGTTTGACCTAAATACTTAGACAAACAAAATCTTCTTCCGAAATCCAATCATGTTCAAGGTGTAAATCAAAGATGTTACATTATTTTTACACTAAGAGTTCCCAGTTTAATATAATTTTAAAATAAATTATATTAAATAATAATTATTTATTTTTTATATTTTAATATATCTATTGATATTAATATAATCATATTTTGTTCATTATGAAAATTAATTATTTATAAATTACATAATACAAAACATTTGAAAGTTTAATTTATATGCATTTTTTATAAACAACTATGTTTTATTATATAGCTTAACATATATTTTTATTTATGGAATAAAAATATATCAACTTTTATGTTATCAAATTTTTTTTAACAAAAAAAGTTTTCCTAAATAGTTTTTGATCATTTAATTTATTTAATGAATTATTATATTTAATTTTTATTCTTACCCTATTGTTTATAAAAGTGATTGATAAATTCAATTCATTATAAAAATTAAATAAGCAAAAAAGCAAAAAAAAGATGGTCTAATAAATATTTAATTTGTTATTAGATTTAACCCAAAATTTTCAAATACAAATAATAAATATAAAAAAGTTTAGACATTATTCATAAATGAATCAATCCACATATTTAGAAACTTTGAGCTTAAACCCTTGACCCACCAATTCTCTTTAAATGGATCAACTTTCTAAAAAAAACTTCCAAAATTTTGAAAATTCTTTTAACGTAGAGTTGTAGGTAAATTATAGAAGATTATGGATAAAAATGTAGGATAAATGAGGATTTGGTTTTCATTTTTAATTTTGGTGTCGTGGAAAGATCTTCACGTACGGAAATATTTTCATTTATAATTATTATAATATAATTAAATAATAATAATTTATAATTATATGAGATTTATCAAAAAAAATTTTGCTAAATTCACACTTATAAATTACGAACCTCTATATAATTTTTTATTACAATAAAATAATAATAAGTGCCAAACCGTCTTGCTTTGTTTTATAGAATAAGTAATAATAGAGATGAATTTTATTACTAAATCATTATATTAAAAAATCTTTTTCTTTTTTATTTTTTCCTGCCTACCAAATTGAATGTAAAGGATCTTTAACTTTTATACTCAAAGCTTCATCAAACAAATAATTAATTTATTAACTCTGAATTTGGACTTCATTATTATCAATTTAACTAAAAATATCAAAATTCAGCTCGAATTCAAATTATAAATTAATGTAAACACATAAATAAATGTTATATTTTACTTATTTATACATAATAAAAAATATTTTAAAAATTAAAAACTGACTAGATTCTTAAACAAAGAACTTGAGCACAAACTTAATAACGAATACATCTTTGATATTGAACTTTTCCAACCCAAATCAACTGAACGTAGTTTGCTTGTTAAAGTTGACAAGGGGGAAAAAAAAAAGATTATAATTTATTTTATATTCCTATTCCTCTTAGCAAGATTTAGGAGCACCAAATACCCACTCATGAGGTCGAGATGCATTTAGTAAGGCTATTCACCAATGTAAAAAAGAATAAAAAAAACCATTCTGAAACCATTTAATCATATTATTGCAAGAGCAAATGGGAGACTCCGTAGCTCTTTGAAATCACCAATGGCGAAGACTAGAACAAAATTGCTGACACCTTGAGAGACTGAACAGTGAAAAAAGTGGCTGTGTGTATTTCAAATCACATATTGAACAAAAATAATTCATGTCTGGGGTTGGGGAAAAAGTATCCTTCAGCATCAGTGAGCAGTGCATAGTTTTTTTTACCAGGGCAAGGAACTGCTAAAGAAAATAACTATGTACAGTAGAGTGGGCTCTCAACTTAAATCGGATTTAAAAATTAAGCTATATTTCCAGAAAAGAGTTGCATAATTTCAGTCTTGTTTAACTTTTACAAAAAATGAACCCCCCAATAATCTTTCACATATATAATATAATGTATCAATGGCACAAATGGGGGGAAAAATGGACAAGATATTCGCCTCCAGCCTCATTCAAATCATCCTAACTGCTCTCCCAGCTGCCCTTTCACTCAAGAATTGTGGTTGGGAAACATGGCCATTTACAAATGTATAATCTAAATGCGAAACCGAGACGAAGTGAAGGGATCAAGAAAAGACTGTCAATCAATCCGACCAAAGAATTCACAGTCAAAAATCGAGGAGCATCATCAATTTATCTAGGGTTTCTGGATAGAATTTCCTTGCAAAAAGGTAACATGGTCGTCTGATACCATTCCATAGGCAAGGTTGTACCTGCTCTTCACTCTACAAAACGACAGAAAAAAGGAAAAATACATTCAGAATCTAGTAATTTTACCAACTCCTGAAAGCATGACAAAATGTGTTAGAAATGTATACCTTTTCATCACTTGTTACATGAACAGTCAAGTCAATCGACTGCAAAAATGTAATGCAAAATTCGTCAGACCCTAATTTCATCATTATTGGTAACCCCAATCTACTACACTATTACCAGATGACAAATCATGCAAGACCTAAATCATCATACAAAAGAACCACATATTCTCAGTGTATCCGTTAAAAGGCTAGGTGGTAAGTTGTTGACCGTTGCCATATATTCCCTTTTTTGTGGCAAAAGATGAAGGTTTGTTTTCCCTATGACCATACTACTACATCACATTCATTAGTATCAAGAACAAACTGGCAAGTGGTTATTGCAATTTGGCAAGTGGTTGTTGCAATGGGATTGCTTAAAAAATAAAGAGATAAGCACATGTACCGTAATATTCTTCAAAAGCTCATCTGTAACATCCTGAGCCCTATATGATTTAGGATGCCACTTTCTTTCAGACCAGTCAACATGTGTTACTGACCAGTTTGCAATACCACCAGGATCAATCATCTGAGGGCACACAAATAAAAACACATTAGGAGAAGCTAAAGTGAAAAGTAGGAAACATGATCCAGGGCATGGATTTCTCACATGGAAAAAGGTTGGCAAGTAATGCTCATCAGCAATGCAATTTTTGCCATCCAAACCTGGCTGTAACAATCAACATGAATGAATGACTATGAGCCAGCAACATAAAACTTCGGCATGAATTCTATCTTATTTCAAAGTTCCATAGATTGCAATTATCAGATACTTATATCATAATGCATATCATCTCCATGATGAAATTCAGTTCACATGGAAGAAGAATGATTTCTGCCCTTGTTATACAGTTATATGGAACTCTAAGGAAAGCTAGATTTAAAAGAACCAGGCCAAACCTAAACAGTCTAGTTTAAGCAGAAAATAACTTCCAACTTGATCTGAAATTTATGTAAATCCAAAGAATTCCTTAAAAGTAACTTTACTTCCAAAAGAAAGAGTTCATTTAGCTCACAGGCAAGTCATTAACATCTAGGAATGTTGTCTTTGTGCTAATATTACCGGTTAAGCTAGAAAATGACTGAGAGATAAACATTGATCATGCAAATTGAGACCAGTCTAACTAACAGGCAATGGTGAGAATAAGAAACATCTGTTATAGCCCTTAAAAAGTTTTTTATATTTTATCAAATGATATTCATCACTCTCCTCAAAAACGTTGAAAACTATTAAGCTTTTATCTTGATTGATAAACGAGAAGCAATGAAAATAAGAAACATCTGTTATAGCCCTCAAAAAGTTTTTATATTTAATTGAATGATATTCAATACTCTCCTCAAAAACATTGAAAACTATTAAGCTTTTATCTTGATTGACAAACGAGAAGCAATGAATTGGAAAGGAGCAATGGAGTCAGAGGGGAAACAAAACGAGAGATCAGGAAAATTGAAATCAAATTTACCTGCAACTCACTGCCATATGTTAATAAATATATAATGCTTTTGATAACCCAGAGTAGTTAGATTAGAGCTACTTTTGCCATCATGTGAGAAAAAAGTCCACTTAGGCAAATTCAAATTGATCTTCATATGTTTTTATTATTTTTCGAAGTACTGAATATATAAAAGAAATCATTAAAATCGAAACAAATAAAAGTGACCAAACTCTCTCATCCATGAATCAAAGAGGGTTCTTGTAAATTCAAAATAAAACAGATCACAAAAAATCAAACTACATTTTAAGATCAAATTCACCTTGCAGTAATCCCGGAACTTCGAGTAGTAAAGACTGTCAGCTATAACTATCAGAGCATGCTGCCGCCTCATTGAGAACCACTGCACAAAATTTACTCATTTATACTTGCCACAACAAGAAACTATATAAGTTTTCTTAAAGAGGTGTGCTGAATGCTGAAATATTTCATAACAAGAGACTTTGTGACTGCGTGGACTTGAACAATTGGGGTAAAGAAAACAGTAAACATTCAAAATGAAAAGTATACACAAATGCATCAACAATGGTGATCAAATTTGAACAATATAGAACACCAGCAGTGATGCATGGCCTTCATATTATCAGAAGCAGAGTTGACTGACATAAAGTTCATTCACACGTCCCAGCTACAGATTTACCATTCAGACTGATTTATTTAATGCATATTTATCAAGATAACAATGGTCTTTTTATCACATCAATTAAGACATACCTGCGCACCCTTTCTGAAGTCTTTCTTTGCTACTTCAGGTAGCATATGCTCTGAATACCTGCCATTTCCATGCGGTCCAGGATCCCCAAAGCTGGCAAACAAAGTTGGGGGGGGGGGGGTGGTGTTACATGTCAAATGAGGTAAACGGTGCAAAAAATCCATCAAATGTGTGATCGCATGGGTGTAATACTCTAAGATTTCACTTACCAGTCAACAAAACTCATATTAGCATGCATCAGATAGTTGTAGACATAATCAAAATTATGCAACGGAACACAGCTGCAATGTCACGATCAATGCTTCAGATTTGATAATAGTATAAGTAAGAAAAAATCCTTTTCTTTGGGGGGGAAGGGGGAGGGGTTTATGGCTGCTAAGTGAGACAAACTATATTTACCTCTCAGAAAGTAACACAAAATGTTGGTTATCAGGATCTTTTAGAGCATGTGCCAATAATCGTCTCTCAGCATCAACCATAGAAATTTTTCCCCATACAACCTGCAAATTCAGTAAAACCAAAGATTACTAGCTCAACAAATTGTGGACTACAGTACCACTAATAAATATGATAGCAACGTATCAAAACGTCAATCAGTTCAACCACAAAACAACAGACAATAAGGAGATAAAAAACAACAATCATGTCAATAAATAAATAGATAAATTAACCATACAATAATAGTTGAAATAGCAATTTATCAGATCACAAAGTTCTACCAAAAATTTTGATATTAAAAATAGCATACTTGCACACTCCTAACAGCACAAAAATTCTGTTTATTAGTAGTTGAATGTAAAATGATGCTGAAGAATATAATTAGCAACAATCTTTAACATGATACTAGAATGGCATGGTAAGTGCTATGACCATGTTTTGGGTTTGGGACAGATTTTCCAAATGACAAACAAAGTTGGACTGTAAATCATCACAGACCTCATAAAGCAGAAACATGAACAAAATCAGAATCTTGATATTGCAGATAAGGAAGTATACAGGGCAGTCCCTCTGATATACAGAAATTAAGTAGTTGACAATTAAGTTTTCTGCCGGAGCCATTATCAAGTCTCACAGTGAATGAATCACTTTATATTTTTGTAATGACCATTATAAAATCAGGCTACTTGGCATGTGCTTCCAAAATGCAGAAGCATGGAAAGATAATTCCAATATAACAAAATATCAGATCAAATGGAGAGAGAGAGAGAGAGAGAGAGAAATAACAACCTATCAGCAAATTTAATCTAAGATGCATACCTCACCACTGTGAATTTCCCGGTTAAGGAAGTAACGGCTCACATGCACTGGTTTTTCTTTTGATGCATGGACATAAACAGAAAATTTTCCCTCATGCCCCTGCCATGAAAAATGACCAAACTTTTGATCAAGATACAAGGTAAATAACATCTCAAAAGTAACTAAAAGCCACAAATGTAGGAAAAAATAAAAAATAATGATTAAATTCCTTTATGCAAGAATTCAACAGAAACAGTCCAAACTAAGCAAACAGTCAAATATAAACAAAAAGTTACTGATACAGACATCCCAATGCACACAAAGCAGGAGAATCTGCCCACTTCCCTCCACCCTAGCATTTGTACTGATTCACAATGTGCCAGATTGATATCACGAGCACCTTTGCCACACAAATTAACCCATATTTGCATTCACAATCAATAAACGAAATGCTCTTTACTTGAATGAAATATATATGACCCTCATTCATGTTAGATGAGTCCATGACACCAAAAAAAAAAAGTAAACTGACCACCTGAATTAATTTATTTGAATCAACCAGAAGAGACATGTACTATTTGATTCAAAAATAGGCTTCATATAGCCAGTAGCTTTTAAGTAATACAACAAAAAACTTCATGTTGCCTACACCAAAAATTATAGGTACTATAAGTTTCTAATTAGTTCAAACAAATCAAACTGCTTATTGTAGGAATTAACCCAGTAATCCAACCTTCCCTTTCCACCAGCATGTCTGCATGCAATAGCATAAAACAGCTTCAGTCCCTCATCCAACTCAACTTTTCATTTTTTCTACTTCTATATCTAATGTATGACCTGAAATGGTTATTAATTCCCATCTTGAGGCTACATATCACAAATATTGGCACTTTCTTCAGATAATGATCATAAATTTACAAATCACACATACAAACTGCATTTTTATGCAGCATAAACAGCACCTGTGGCAATAAGTTTGTTCTTATATATCAAAATCTTGACAAGTATGATGAACCTCTAACCATTTCCACATAGGGTCCAGTGCACGATGGTTCGTATCTGCCCTACTATCTATAGCATCAAGGTTTGAGAAACCTCCAGATGTGAATATCATTACTGACAGGCTAAAACAAGAAATCTCCAGCAAAAGGTTTCAAAAACATAATAATGAAAAAAAATTAAAAAACATGAAGAAGGATCCAAACTATCTAAAAGCTCCAGTTAAAGTAGGTAGACTACTCCAAAACACAAAATCACCTTCTCCCTCAATTTCGTAATGGTACAGATATAAAATAGCAACTTTATTACCCAGAGTCCTCGCTTCACCCCGTATTAACACTACAGTTCAGGCCCAAAATCTCTACCAGGTTTTCCCATCTGCCATAAATGCAATGTTATGGCTAAAAATGACCCCCTCCAAGTATTTCTAAACCAAAAAAGAATTGTCAATTTTGAATCTATACCAACAAAAATGAATGAATAAATAAACAAATACAAATTACTTCAGGAAAAAAAAAAAAAAAAACCCAAAACAGGCAGGAGGCAGGGTACTTGAGGCCTCACACAAAAATGTCATTCCTATCTTAGCAAACATCTTTTATATGGTAGATTTTGTATACCATCCATCCAACCTTGTTATACGGGACCAAAACTTGAATGAATTTCTTCCCAATGTATCAGTTCATGAAAGCCAAGTTCAAGGATATTAAATCATGACATTAAATGGGATAACAAAATATCCAAGAAGCATATGAAAACAATAGATTATAGAAAGGAAAGACGAACTAGCAGCCAAAAAAGAAATAACTTACATGGAAGAACATATCCCAAAGCTTCTCAAAAGGTAGTGAACTTGGAGTTAAGAACAGGAATGCAATTTTAGAATTTTTAGATTGTACAGGAGGTGTATTCAAAATATTTGTAAACACAACCTGCGATGCAATCTCCTCATCAGTTAATTCCCTCGCAGGAGTAGAAGGAAGCCAAACACTAAGGGCCTTGCAACCTCTAGAAGAAAATACGTAACAAGCACCATTGTCATGCGGTGGATAGATATAAGCACACACTAGAAAAAGGCTGACCAACGAAACAAAGAAAATAATCCATATCGGCCTCTTCAAAGGAGGGCGGTGGCGAGACCCAGGCAAGATCTGCATATCAACCATGCTGCCTAGTCGCCACGCCTGAGCTCCCTTCATCTACTACAAACACCACAGCTTTATATTCATGTGATTCTCTTCTGATTCCAGTTTTTCTTTTCCTCAAAGAAAGGAGTTAGTATTCAACAACCAACCACAGATTCTTCAATCAATCAATGTAATGTGATCTGAGAAAGGAAACCATAAGCAAAAACGTTACAATACTTAGTTTGTGACACAAGTATCCATGAGACCAAAAAACAAAACTTGGTCAAAAAGATCAGCGTAAATACCAAGTAAAAAAACCCGATCAAATCCTTTAACTTTAAAGCTTCAAGAAGGGCCCAATTTTTTTAAAAAGAAGCCAGTAAATTCAACCAAATGTTCTATACATTTCAAAATAAATAAAAGCAGATTACAAAATTTACCTCTTTTTGGTGGGTAATCAAATGGCTCAAGGGCAACAGTTTTTCAACTTATGCAAAACAGATATAGCATGAATTGAAGAAAGGAAGGCTAAAGTCTTGGATTTGCCTAACTATTAAAACCAAACACAACTTCTTTCAACCATTTCTATCAAAAATAAGGAGAAACATGTGATAATAAAGTCAACCCAAATCGAAGACCTCGCTGGTCCAACCTACCAAAAACCTAAGACTCATTCAAATCCAGCAAAAGAAAAGACATTTCCACACTCAATCTCCCTCCTTAGTCAATACCACTCTTCCCCCAAAAAAAAAGAAAGAAAAATCATAATGAAACAATCTTCTTTGAAAAAACAACACTGAAACGAGGCGACAACTAAAAGAAAATGAGAGGCAAGTTACCTGAGGAATGGAGCTGATTGAAGAAAATGAAAGAGAAATTAAAATCTCCGGATTTCAAAGATCCAAAAATCAAAAAGACAATAAGATCTAGGGCGGGCAGGCATAGCATGAAACATGAAACAGAGAAAAGAGATTTGTATTGTGTGTACTTGCAAAAAAAAAAGATTAATCTCTGTAAAATGGGTTTTTGATTCTTTGGAGGATTCGTTTATGTGTTTAGTTCTTAATTATTTGGCTTTGGTTTTGGTTTTTGTATAGTTATTTGTGAAAGAGGGAGAGGGAGGGACAGCGGGGGTTTGAAGAAGCAGAGCAGGCGGGTTGTTATTTTAGCTGATTGGCATTGTTCCAAATGCAAAACAAAGCCGGCGATTTAATTTAATTAATTGCTTATCGTTTTTGTTTAATGCTGCTTGCAGGATCAACTGTCAATGCCTAGCCGCAGTGCAAGCGCGTGTTGCTTCCCACCAACTCAGCCAAGATTCAATGCCTTGTCAATTAAACCCTTTTAAAGTCTAATTTTTTTTCTATCACGTTATTTTTATATGTTTGGTAAAAGGAATAAGAAGAAGAATTCAGTATATCTATACTAATCTTAATATAATTTAAATTGATGTAACCGATGGACGGAACATCAATTCAATTGAAAATTTTTTTTAAAAAAAAAGTTAAGCATTTTATAATAATAAATATAAAATTAAAGAGATATACGTGATTTTATTTTTTAAAAAATTTAAATAAAATAAACCACTCATTTTTTGAAAAAAAAAGCTATCACATTTTAAGTGATTCATATAATATTTTAAAAAGTAATATATAATATATTTAAGATTTGAAGTAATAAAAATATTTTTTTATTACATCAATTTTAGTATAAATAAATGAGAGAAGAGATGTTTAACTCGAAATTAAATCTTTGATGTTTTTTTAAATGCTTTTAATCATTAAATCAAAAGCTTAAAGATATAAAAATAAACTTTGAATTTAAACAATGAGCATTAATCCATTTTAAGTCAAAGTATCTAAATGCAATAATCCATTTGTGTAAATATTAATGGAAGCCTCGTAAATTTCAGCTTTCCTCGAATATGGTATGAAAAGCGCCTGCATAATTTGTCTTCACAAAATAAAAGTTAAGCAAAGAGTCAAACAGTTTCTTAATGGATATAATATATAATTCGCCTAAAGGCCCTGTTCTCAGCATTTTAATCCAACAATATAAAGAACAAAAAGAGATGGAAGATGCAACCTAAATTCCACCGCAAAGCGACGGTCGTTTGAGCCTAATTATAAAATTAAAAAAAAAAATTATTGAATTAATATTAACTCACAACTCTTAATGATGTTTGAACAAAGTAGGATAGACTTTTTATTTTTTTTTTATATATAATTTTAGTCGATTAAAGCTTCAAGAATGCTTGTTTTGAAAGTTTTACTCAAAGATAATCGACTATCCTTAAGTTCATTATGGAGCATTCTAAATTAAACTTAGCTTTTGTCTTTGATCTGGTCGATTTAAGGTGTTTAATAAATTAATGAAAATTTTTTAAAATATTGAAAAATAAAATTTTTAATGGGTTTATTTTTTCAATGCATTTGATAAAAATTTTTAGAAATCACTTAATAAATTTTTTCAATGAAAAAGTTTAGAAAATATTAAACTCTACTTAAATTATTGTTATTTTTATTTTTAGAAAATATCATTTAATTATAAGCTAAAAGATAAAAAAGCTTTCAAACAAAAATTTAATAATTATCTAAACTCCTGTCATCTTATTGCAATTAATTAAATTTTTTTATTTTTACCGATTGAACCTTTATTAGAAAAAAAAAATGATTAACTTTTAACATCAATTTTTGTCACTTAGTTGGGATAAAAATAGATATTTAAGGGTTTATTTGAATAAAAATAAATATTTTAAAGGTTCAACTTATTCAAAATAAAAAAAAAAATTTAAGACTTTGATTATAATAAAATATCAAAAACTTAAATTTTCCTCTAGAGCTTCTTTTATCCTTATGCCTTAATTATATAAGTGTTATTTTTTTTCTTTTAATCAATTATCTAACCTTTCTAACTTTTATTAAATAAAATAATTATAAAAATCTTATCTCTCTTTCATAAAAAAATTATTAAAAATTTAATTTTTAGTAACATATCAAATACTTTTTATATTATAAATTCGGTACTTAAAATTTTAAGAACTAAAATATTTAATATGATACTTAAATTTTAAAATTTTTTAATATATTACTTGTATTATAAATTTATTAATTAATATAATATTTAAAGAGTTATTTATCATTTATGTGTTATCATATAAAACTAACTATATTAAAAATAAATGTCATAATAATTAATAAATTTATATTATAAATATCACATTAAATATATTTTATTATGGGTCATTCGCAACATTATCCCATTTTAAAAATATCATTTAAAAATACTTTTTATTAATAAAATTTAATTATTGAAGTATGCACTTTATTAGTCAAATCTAATTATTAGAAGATTAATGGCGGATCAAAAAAAAATTTTCCAAAAGTATTCAATTATAATATATAAAAAAATTAATATATTTATTAATTTTATCAACAAAAACGATATTCATGAGAGAATTATAGAAATATTTTAAAAAAATTTCTTATAAATTTTCTTATTTTCTAAACTTTATGGGTCCACCTATGGTATTAGTGCATCTAAGTATTTATTTTTAAAATTTTTAATTTATCCTAAATAATCTACCTTTAAAGAAGACATTATACGTATAAACTTTTTCAAAGTCTATAATTTTTAAGTATCCGCTTTAATATCATGCTAATTGATTGATAGTTCAACCAACTAGCACATCTAAGTATTTTATTCAATAATAAATATAATTATGCGCTCTGCTGCAATAAATTGTAGTTATATTTTCCTACACTTAGTGCAGAAAGCAAGTAGAATTGTAGAAGTGTTCAGGGATGATAGATTAAAGCTTTAAGAATGCTTGTTTGAAAGTTTTACTCAAAGATAATCGACTATCCTTAAGTTCATTTTGGAGCATTCTGGAATTTAACTTAGCTTTTGTCTTTGATCCGGTCGATTTAAGGTGTTTAACAAATTAATGAAAAATTTTAAAATATGGAAAAATAAATTTTTTAATGGTTTTATTTTTTCAATGCATTTGACAAAATTTTTTAGAAATCACTTAATAAAACTTTTCAAGGAAAAAGCTTTAGAAAATACTAAATTCTTCTTAACATATTATTAATTTTATTTTTAGAAAATATTATTTAATTATAAGCTAAAGGATAAAAAAGCTTCCGAACAAAAATTTAATAATTATCTAAACTTCTATCATTTTATTGTAATTAATTAAAATTTTTTATTTTTACTGATTGAACCTTTTATTAGAAAAAATATGATTAACTTTTATCATCAATTTTTGTCTAATCAAAAGCTTAGTTAGGGTAAAAATAAATATTTAAGAGCTCATTTGGATAAAAATAGATGTTGTAAAGTTCAACTTATTCAAAATAAAAAAAAAATTTAAAACTCGATTGATTGCAATAAAATATCAAAAACTTAAATGATTATAAAATTTTTCTTCTAGGGCTTCTTTTATCCTTTTGCCTTAATTATATAAATGTTTTTTTTTTTTCTTTTAACCAATTATTCTTAACTTTCTAACTTTTATTAAATAAAATAATTATAAAATCTTATCTCTCTTTTATAAAAAAAATTATTAAAAATTTAACTTTTTGTAACATATCAAATACTTTTTGTATTATAAATTCAGTACTTAAATTTTTCAAAACTAAAAATCCAGTGCCTAATTTTTTTTAATGTTAAATTTATTTAGCTTATCAATCTGCTCTAAAGTTGAAAACTTAATCAACTAAGGTATAATTTAACATTGTTGTTGTAGGTGAAAAAAACTCTTGATTATTTTGAATATTTGGCATTATTGTGAAAAATAGTGTAGTAATTTAAAATATCTAAAAAAGATATAATATTTAAAAGTACAAAACAAGCCATTTTTAATATTATTTAATTATATTATATTAAAATGTATCAAAAAATAATTGTGACTTAGTTTTAAACATTTATACAAAAAATAAAATTTTTAAATTTTCATAAAAAGATTAAATGCCTTCAACCTAGAAAATAAAATAGTTATATCTCTCTAAGTTTTATTTTAAGTTAAAAATATAATATAACAAAATATGGGAATGCTATATATTTAAAAAGGAATAAACTTACAGATGGTCCTGAATTATATTGAAATGTTAAATGTAACATCTAAATTTTAAAAATTTTTACTTAAATTATGAATTTGTTAATTAATATAGTATTTGAAAAATTATTTATCCATTAAATGTTGTCATTTGGAACTAACCACATTAGGGTTAGTTCCATGTTAGTTAAAAATTCAAAAACCGCATTGAATATTTTAAAATTCAAATATTACATTAAACATTCATTATAGTTTAAGGTAATGTTTAGTATTATTTTTCAAATCATCATGGTGATTTTAATTACTATGGTAATAAGATTATCAAAATGATTTGATCACCAATGATTTAATTATCATGTTTTATACGATATTATAAAATCACTAGTGCTTTTAAATCATTATATTTGGTATTATATGAAAAAATAAATCATATAATATAAAATATCCAAAATAATCTTAAAACAAATATTTAATACTTATTGAATTAATAATTTATAAAATAATTAAAAGTTATTTTATAAAAAACTATAAAAGTATAAATTGATTTTAATAAAAATAATTTTTAAAAAATATTAAATAAATTTATTATTTTTTCTAGTCAATATAAATTTATAATATAAAATCTTTTTTTAAAATAAGTGATGAAAAAATAGATTTTTTAAAATTTTTGGTCGTCAGTATTTTGAAATAATGTTAATTATATTTTTTGTGAGGATAAGTTAATTGAAAATTAATATTGAAAATTATTTTTCTACAATGATAAAACTTTATCATCCTTTAAATTGAGAATCAAATCATTCCCTAAGATAATGATCTATCATTTGGTGATTTAAGATCACTCTTACGTAAATTTTCTAAATTGCTTGCAAATAAGATAATGTAATTACAAAGTGCAGATTACTAAAGTTTTTAGATGGATCACTCCCTATCAAATACTCTCTAAGGTTTGTTCATAACATTAACCTATTTTTAAAAAATCCAATAAAAAGGGATAATTTTATTTAAAAAAAATCGATAAGAAATTAATTAAGGGATAGTTTTATGATAACTTAAAAACAAAAAAGGTATTTAGTTTATTTCCCTTTTAAGGTGGCATTTGATAACAGTGAGCCTGACCATGGTGAAATTGAAAAGAGTGATAGAGACAAGATTGATTACTATAGCGATTGGATTAAAATCAATAATAAAAATATATGTTTGGATGTAAATGCGACGTTGGCAGTAAAATTAATTATAATAAAAAGAGAAATGATCATTAATGATACTAAATTGAAAATTATACGTAATAAAAATTTAAATTATTTAATATTTATAAAATTAATAAATTATTTAAAAAATCACTAAATTATTTTTACATCAAAT